CTCTCTCTCTCTCTCTCTCTCTCTCTCTCTCTCTCTCTCTCTCTCTCTCTCTCCGGCTGTCGTTCTCTAAGCACTCCACGTCTCTGCGTAGCTCTTCCTTCACTCTTAAGCTCAACTTTGGTTTGCTCTGCATATGATCTACATATCAGGAGGCTTAACTCTATCTATCTGTCTCTTTCTTTTGCAATTCCTATGCGATGTAGTTGTGTGACCCGTAGTAGTGTGTATTGGCTGCCTGTGCTAGAGTCCTAGCGACCTAGAGTCTTAGACCCTTTACTGACAATTAACTAATGACACTCACCCCTCACTCGCCACCCCTCATCCCCCTCGAAAACCCGGTCGGATCGTCCTACTCTCCTACAACCACAGTGCTGGCGTTGCACGAACAGATATTGAAATGCCCCACGCCTGGCTGCAACGGACGGGGACACGTTCAGCCGCACCGGAGCGTGCACCGCAGCCTGTCCGGCTGTCCGCGAGCTATACGGCGCTTGGCGGCTCGTCGATCGGTGGTTGGGCGCTATCAGTCGATGTGCGTGAGCGTGAGTGATAGCCCGATAGCGATAGCATTGCCATTGCCATTGGCATTGCCCCTGGCGGCGGCAGGCGGAGGCGATAGTGAGAGCGAAAGCGATCACGATCACAATAACGATCACGATCACAATCACGATAACGATAACCATAGCGATAACACAGCAGGTGCGTTCGATCGCCTGTCTCTGCCAAGCAATCAAAACACAAGTGAAATTATTCATTACAAAAACAACTTTATATCTAAATCGAAATCTAAAAAAAAAAAACACTTCAATAATACCTTTTAACAATTTATTTTGCGCTCTCTCCTGTTCCCACTCTCTCTCTCTCTCTCTTTCTCTCTGTCTCTCTCACACTCTTTCCTTACACAATACTGCCTCATATTCCTATCTCTAACTATGTCTAACTCACTCATTATCTAACTCTCTCTCTCTCTCTCTCTCTCTCTCTCTCCCTCTCTCTTACACACACTCTCTTTCCCTCTCATAATCTCTCTTTAATCTATCTCCCTCTTATACATACACACACACTCTCTCTCTCTCTCCCTTGCTCTGACTCTGTCTCTATATCATTTTCTCTTTCTCTACATATTTCTTTCTCTCATGCACATACTCTTTCTCTCTTTCCATTTCTCTCTCGCTCTCTGCCACTCTCTCTCTCTCTCTCTCTCTCTCTCTCTCTCTCGCTTTCTCCCCATCTCTGTCCATCTGTCTGACGCTGTGCGCAGCTGGCGAACTGGAGAAGCATGAGAAGGAGCTGCATGCCCTGGACAAGCTCAAGATCACCTCTAGCCATTATTTGAACAACAACAACAGCAGCTGCATTAACAACAACAATACGAACAGCAACAACAACAACAACAACGGCAGCAACAACAAAACGATGCCCATTATCAAAACGGAATACAGTCCGGTGGCCAGCATTAAATCGGAATATAACAAAAGTCCCATGCACTCGTATTTGGCCAATGATGCCGCTGCGGCGGCCAGCAGCGCCATACCCGCTGGCAGTGCGCGCAGCAGCAACAGCAGCAGCAACAGCAACAATAACAACAACAACAGCAACAACAGCAGCAGCAACAACAACAACAATAGCAACAGCGAAGCGCACTTGAGCCGCTATGTTGGCATGCAAAGTCCACACGCCCAACATCACCAGCAGCAGCAGCAGCAGCAGCAACAACAGCAGCAGCAACACACGCTGCATCAGCAACGCGGACCCTTCATCGAGGGCAATGCCACACAGATGATGCCCGCGGGCAATGCCAGCGCCGGCGACGCCAACGATCCAGCCAGCTATCACTCAGAGCACCAGCAGCAGCAGCAACAGCAGCAGCAGCAGCAGCAGCAGGCGGACGAGCGTCAGCAGCAATATGAGCAGATGCGCTATGCGCAGAGCCATGGCCATGATCCGAGCGCGGAGCAGCAACAGTTGCTCGCCAGCAATCCCAGCAGCAGCGAGCTGTCGCCGGTGACGGCGCGCAGTGCCTATGAGCATACGCATCCGCATCCGCATTCGCATCCGCATCCGCACTCACATCCGCACACACATCCGCCGGGCACAGTGGCGCCCGTGTTCGTCGGCCTCGGCGTCGGCGACTCGGTCAGTGGCGGCGGCGGTGGCGGTGGCGGCGGCGGTGGCGGTGGCAGCGCAGCGGGCTTCGAGCGCTACGATCCGAATTGCTGCCCCAGCGGGGGACAGCGACTGCAGCCGGGCGCCACAGCGGCCACAGCGCCGGCCAACATGTACCACTATCTGCCACAGGCGGCGGACGACCTGCAGGCGCAGCAGCAAAAGTACTTGCAGGAGCAGCAGCTGCTGATGGCCAAGGCCGAGCACGAGGAGCTGGCCAATGGGGGCGGGCCGATCTATCCGCGGCCCATGTACCACTACGATCCGACGATGGGGCCGCTGCCGCCGGGCTTCTCGGCGATTAACTTGTCGGTGAAGATGGCTGCGGCGCAGGCGGCGGCAGCAGCAGCTGCCTATCAGAATCAACAGCAGCAGCAACAGCAACAGCAGCAGCAACAGCAGCAGCAACAACAGCAGCAGCAGCAGCAACATCTACAGCAGCAACAGCAGCAGCACAGCAAACAGAGCAGTTCGCCGACGCCAAATGTGGGCGTGGCAGCGCCAGCTGTTGACCTATCGGGCGCCACATCGGTAACATCGTCCAGCCCGCACGGTTTCAACTCGCCAGCCTCGCACAACCAATACAACCAGCGCATGGGCAACGGCAGCCCACAGCCCGGCGCCAGCCCCAACATTGCCAGCCCCCAAGTGCCGAGTCCGCAGGGCCAGACGCTCGATCTGAGCGTGACGCGTTTGCCGCACAGGTAAGACCGTATGAAAAAAAGCAGAAGAACTCCTACTCCCGCCTCACCCCATTTACCTAACATCCAAAGTCCACTCGCCCAGGCTCAACTCGACTTTGCGTTTAGCCTAGATAAATAATATTTTGGTTTAATTACTTGTTAATTACTGTTTAATTACTTGTTAATTACTATTTAATTACTTTCATTTGACTCATTTCATATTATTTTGTGCACTCTCTCGAGCATATTGAATCATTGTCATATATTTCAATAAATACTGCATCTGACCTCAAGTAACTTGGGCACTAGAAGAGCTAGCTTTACCAAACTTGGTACATCGGCTCCTATGTAAATTTTAAGCTTAGTTTTAGACATTCATCTACTATCTTTGGTGTTTTTAAGTTAGAATAAGCTACAGTTAAGATAAGGATAAGTTACTGATATTCTATATAGATTACATTTAACTTAATATCTGTAAAAACTGCACTCATACAGATACCAATTGAAATCGTCTTCAAGATATAGTATATATATATGATTATAAGAAGGATCTAGAAACTTGATAGATAGAACTTGAAAATCAATATGCTATAAGAAGAGATGTATGGTGAAAATGCTTTTAATGCTAAAAATGGCATATCTATAAAAACCACTCTATCATAAGTATCAGTAGTACCTAACTGACCTCAAAGAACTCGGGAAAGTAATGAGCTATAAAGACAAAATTTTATATCTAAGCTCGACTATATATTCCAATCATTTAAATTTAGAAAAATAGCACAGTAAAGTGTTTTCAAATAACTTTTTGCTATAGTAAGCTCAGCTGACCTCAAGGAACTCAGAGACGAAAAGAGTTACACGACTGAGAATTTTTGTCTGAGCTCTGTTAAGTATACCCATTACTGAAACAGTTTGAAATTATAATTATATTAAGCCCTTATAATATGATAAGTTGACATAGCAGGCAAGCATAATTGAAAGTATTTCCCCTATTAATTGGTGTCCATCTCTTTTTTTTTTTTGAATAGCATCATCACGAGCCCGCAGTACGGCGCCGACGGCCTTGTTGTGGGCCACGGTCAGGGCTTTGGCAGCGCTGCGCCCGGCTCAATCGGACCGAACGGACCGCCGCGTTCACCACAAATGGAGCCAGTGGACTTTAGCGGACCGCCACGTCCGCTTGGCTTTGGCCTGGTGGGTCACATCAGCGGGCCGCGTCCATACAGCCGCGAATCGACGCCCGACAGCGGCGGCTCACACTACATCGAAACGTACAGAGATCCGAGCGGTACGTTCCCAATGCCATATCTAATCCTATGATAGCACATAGCTCATATATACAATATCGTATATCATATCACATCCTGTGTTTCTGTAACCCCTCGCTACACTGCAGGCTATTCACCACATCCTGGCTATGGCATGGTAGTGCAATCCGACTACCCACCAGCTGGCTATCATGGCTATGGCCCCGCCGCCTATCAGTGCAGCAATCCGTATGCGACGGCCGTTGGACCCGGCGGCTACCCGACGCCCGTTTCCGGCGGCTACTCACCCAGTCCGGCCACCTGCTACTCGATGCCACCGCCGCAGCACATACCGCAGCACGACAAGACCAAAGACGGGTGAGTCCACTGCACTACCCGTGTGCCTCTGCCTAATCTAAAATGCAATTAGTGAAAAGTCCTTGATAAGTGCTCTTGATGGACAATATGTGCCATCCATCTAACAGCATCGTTCACTGTGGCCCATCAGTCACAGTCGCTGTCACTGTACCTCCCCCCCTCCCTCTCCCTGTCGCTGTCCCTCTCACTGTGTCGCACAGTGGTTGCAGATGCTATGAGCTGTAGGAAAAACCCCTTGAAGCTTTGGGATATGCCAGAGAATGAGACGTAGTGAAAAGTGTGAATCAAATTCACTTTCATATTCCCCTTATTATGCACTACCCACAAAAAAGCTAAATGCTGGGTATATTGTGTTTGTGCGAGTGTATGTAACAGACAGGAGAGGGCGTGGCATAGCATTTACGGAAGGTCTACGGATGATATACTTAACGAGTTGATTTGATCTATTTACATTTACGTCTGCCGAGCACCGTCCGTCTGCCCATCTCTCTATACGTCGGCCTATCTGTTGCTCTACTCATCCGTCTGTACGTCCGTCTGTCCGTCGTTCCAATGTTGCCTGCATCTGTGTGTCCATCCGTAAATGTATTTCAGCCGTCGCTCTATCTACCGTTCGCCTCTACCCGCCTGCCTCTACCAGTCCGTCTTTCCATACATACTTCCTTCTATGTTCAGGGCATCTCCTAGTCGGGTACTTCCAAATATTAGAATCTTTATTGCCGTGTCACTGTGCGCTCGAGTGTGTGCGTGTGTCAACAGCTTCTTAGCTAGCATATTAATGATTGCGACCGTACGGACGCAGAGCACTCATAAAAGCCGCCCAAGCTGGACAACCGCAAGCCCCAAACAGTGCCACGAGCCAACTTGGAGTTTCCCCTGAAGAACATATTCTTTCCACTTTTAAATTTAATGAAGCTTTAAAGGACTTTATGGGACTTGTCTTTGTCAAGTTTTAATATGCTCTCCCTTTCTCTCTCTCTGTCTCTTAGCTTGACGGGCTGCTCGCGCTCGGATCGCAATCATTTGCAATCGCATTCACAGGAGCTTAAGTGCCCGACGCCTGGCTGCGATGGCTCTGGCCACGTCACTGGCAACTATTCATCGCATCGCAGTCTGTCCGGCTGTCCGCGCGCCAACAAGCCGAAGAGCAAGCCGCGCGATGGCCAGGACTCGGAGCCGCTGCGCTGCCCCATACCCGGCTGCGATGGCTCCGGCCATTCCACCGGCAAATTCCTCTCACATCGAAGGTAAGCACGAGGCAGACAACAAACCAGATGCGAGCTCACTAACTCTACTTGATCTATCGTTCCACTACCTTGCAGCGCATCGGGCTGTCCCATTGCCAATCGCAACAAGATGCGCGTTCTGGAGGCCGGCGGCACGGTGGAGCAGCACAAAGCCGCAGTTGCAGCTGCTACGGCCATGAAATTCGATGGTGAGTCGACTAGAAATCGGACTAAGAACTAGAGGAATTTATCATAATCAAGACTTTTCAACTGAAAAGTGAGTGTGACAACATTTAGCCAACAGTTCTTAGGTTGAGAATTAGCTATGGCCCACATCTTACGCTATATAGACTGACCCAACAGGAGTTTCGATAACTTTACTTTGGTATCCTTCCAAGTTATCGATAACAGATTACTGTTTTACTATTCTATGAAATTTGCCATTTCATCAGTAAATATCTTACGCTTGCTAAACGCTTGGTTTCAGTTTAAGACAACATAAAAACAACTTTCATATCCTCATAGAGTTTGTGAGGATATAGTGTCTATATAAGACAAATATTTCATATATATTTATACTAAGTCGTAGTCACATTCAACTCGCATTCGAGTGCACACGAAAACCAGTGAAACCTATTGAATATAGTTCTTTTTAAAGAGGCTTTACGTTACTTTCGGATAGAACTTTTGAGGAAGAACCGCTTCAAAAGATTGTGGTCAAAATGTAATAACAATGATCAAAGATCAATAAATGCTAATCAACGATCGGTGATGAATGATCAGTGATTAATGATCAGTGATCAATGATAAATAATCAGTTATCAGTGATCAATGATCAGTTATCATTGATCAATGATCAATAATTAGTTATCATTGATCAATGATCAATAATCAGTGATCAATGATCAATGATAAATAATCAGTGATCAATGATCAATGATAAATAATCAGTGATCAATGATCAATGATAAATAATCAGTTATCATTGATCAATGATCAATAATCAGTGATCAATGATCATTGATCAATGATAAATAATCAGTGATCAATGATCAATGATCAATGATAAATAATCAGTGATCAATGATCAATGATCAGTTATCAGTGATCAATGATCAGTTATCATTGATCAATGATCAATAATTAGTTATCATTGATCAATGATCAATAAT